CTAGATAAGTGTAAAATTTGAACTGTGAACTCAATCTTAAATTGAAAAAAATCAAAAGAAAATCAAAACAAAATTTCAGTACTTGTGGAAATAAACACAGCTACATATCTTTCCAACATGTTTAGCCTAGTTCTGCATAATAAACCAGTTGTCTTAAAATGTTCCCCTGTAATATAAAACAAGACATTTTGATATCTTAAAGCCATGAGAGTTTACTTGATTGGTTTAAAACTTGCCAGTGGAAAGACATGTCTCATCCCCTGAAAGCCCCCTAACCTTTCTTCACGCCAAAAGAAACAACCTCCTTGTGATTCCTGCTTAGTCCAATCCCATCACAGATTACCCTGTGTTTGGTCACTAGCCTATGGCCTGCACTGGAACCCCCCTTTCGGATCCTGCATTGAATAAAATATTGACTTACAAGCTGTGATGCCCAACAGATGTGTGATAAGAACAGAAGAGGCTGTACATAGAGACCACCTCCTATGCAAACCCAAAGCTCCAACAGCTCCACAGCAGGAGGTAGCATAGCCGAAAACTGCAGATTAACACAGCAATCAGCACCTCCCAAGAAATTCCTTTGTAGAGACTGAAGAGCTGGTTCAACTACCCCAAATCTCTCCTTTCCTCTCACGCAAAGGAGCTACGACTAAATAATTACTGAGCACAGGCCTCGGTGCTGGGTGTAATGAAGCATTTTACTGTCATATGGATGTTTAGACATGCACCACTTACACTTGCCAAGCTTGTTTCAGCCATTTGTGTGACTTAAATAATTCAGTCTAATAATGCACTTACAGTTTTGCAGTTCGCTCACATGTGGGTTAGTCTGAGGTCAATCTCTTTCATACTTTAGAATGAGACTGCTATATCTGCTAATCTGCTGGATTAACATTTACAGATGCCAGGGCAGATGTTAAAACCGCTTGCTGTATGTAATAGTACAGATTTGATGAATTTGTGGTCAGTTGCATGATCACAGCAGTGCTTCTTTCTTCAGATTGATCATAAGTTTTGATTTCATGTTGTTTTTTGTACAGATAAATATGGCTTTCTATAATTTCCCGAATAAAAACAGCCATTATTTTACTGCTTTGATGAGGAAACACTATAACATAGATCAGAAAATAATGTAATATGGGCCTTTTAAAATTCGATTAACTGCACAACCTTCTGTACAATGTAATATTCTAACTGAATTCCACAAAAGGAGTAGTTACCATGATTTAGATGGACATAGTCAATATGCCCCTTTAAAGGAATGAGGACACAAAAAAGGACAATTTTGTTAAGTGACCCATTGATTTTGAAATTTCACCTCTCGGCCACATAATCTAGCCTCTTTAAAGCAACTCTTGGTCAACATTTCCATTAGTTTAGCTACATCATGACATTTCCGCTTCAGCATATTAAGAGCTGAAAGATTAGAGCCAGCTGTCTATGTGTGCATGTCCAACTAAAAACTAGTACTATCAGGATTGGGGGTGGCGGTAAGCTTTGTAGATTAAACAAACTTTTCCTCTGTTTTAGCTTTCTTACAGTGCTTATGTCACCGCAGGGGGGCCACCCGGGGTAAAGGGGTTATCTGTTTTTAAGCTTGTCCACTTTAAAAGACATTACAGTGGTTTAAGTTGCTACTGCACAAATCCCTATAGTCACACGTGCACAGCAGAGTGGGTTAAAACCTGGAGCCAAGCCAGAGTTAAGTGAGCATGAGATTTTCAGCCCTCTTTAAGTACCGCGCTGGTTTCCTGTATGAATGCTGTCTTTGGGAAGTATTGGGACCACGTTTTTTTCAATACCTGGAAAATTCTTCATGTTTTCTGGTAGTAAGTTTAACACATGTGCAAAGAAAACAGAGTTATAAAATGAAGGCTTTCTTTGGCCTGTTGTGTGTCCGTAACGTGTAAAGTGTAGTATAGCGTTAGCCGTAGAGCTGTTAAAGCCAGGGTTGCAGTGGGTGGCCCGGGGACAGTTGTTAGTTTTGGGTGTGAAGAGCAGCAGGGGATTTGGTCTTAAAAGTAGATTTTCAAGGATTTATTTTCAAGGGGAAAATTACTAGGATTTTTTTTTTTTTTTAACAGACCAACCTGCTTAATGTAGAGCATCAGAGATCTCCTATATTGGATTTAGCAGGATTTAAATATTTGGTAATAAAAGTTTCAGCATTATCTTAAAGGTGCATTGCTTTTCTGGTGGAGAGTCCATCAAATGTTTTTCTCTGTGGAGATGTCATGGCTTTGTCTGGACTGTATCACAGTATGGTATTAAACCTTTCAATTCCCCAAACCAGACCAAGTTACAGGTCAGATCCGTGCAGAGGCAACCCAGCTCACAGTCAGAATGCATGTTGTTGTTGTTGTTGTTTTGAGTATTTTTGAGCTATAAAACAACCTGTAATTGCATAAATGTTAGGTATATCTGTTTAATGTCATAGTGTGGTACATTCCATGCAGAGCAATGACAACTCCACAGAAACAAGCAGGTGATGGACAATGCACCTTCAATATAATCTTCACCGGATTACTGAGAAAACTGTTTATTTGAATGACAGCTGACCATTTGTTCTGTATATTTTTTGGTTTGGTTTGCTGTATCCTATTATAATATGAAATTTAAAAAAAATATATATAAGTTAAAAAAAATCTTGACCATCAACAGTTTCTACTTCCACATTTATTTTGTGCAAAACAAGTTCAAAAGAAAGAAAATGGCATCACTTTAACCATTTGCGTTGGTATACAAGATATTCCTGATGCAAAGTGTATAGATGCATTTGGGGTTATCAGGAACTAATATTTCCTAAGAACCAATGCGTCAAAGCACCATTGATTTTTGCAGTTAGTCACTGATGTTGCGTTAGCTTAGATATCTGGCAACCCATTTCCTGCATGAGTCACAGAAAGTTGCTGCGGACTATGTGTTAATTATGTCATTGCAATTTAAGATTCTGCACAAGATTTTTGCACAAGATTAGACACCTTTGTTAGCAGTGACCCTACGCACTTTTTGTATCAGATGTGGTGCTAGATTTGACAGAAGAAGACTGCATTTGTGGATAATTGCAATACCCAACCATTAGCTGAGATAGGATTTTACTAACGCATCGTCTTTTTAATGAATCTAGATAGTAATCATCCAGTCACTCCATTAGCTAATGCACTGCCTCGGGGTAACAGCGTCTCCTTACAATGATCGTTGCACATTTTGTATGTTATATAATCAGGACGTTATGGGGAAAATTGAAAGCAGCAAAAGCCCGTGACATTTGTCTATATTTACTCTGGGGCATTGTAAATGTGGTTACTTCAAGATGAAAATGTAAACGTGAAAGACGAAAAGGTCACTAGAGGTTACGGCGGAACAGAAAATCAATAGCTGCCTTAGAAATGAAGACTCAATACAATGTTTATGGTGCTATGCAAAGTAGGATTGTTGTAGGACCCACTGTAGTTCCCAATTATTAATACATTCTAAAAATACACATTAAGATGAGTTTTGAACATCTGTATTGGTCAGCTGTGCTTAAATGGACACTAGTCAATACAATCAACGAATTAAACCAGACATAAATCAAATTCCTTTTAAAACATCAAATTTGTCCTGGTCTCAGTCTTTTCAAAATGTCAAGGCATAATGACAAAAGTGACTTTGTACCATAATAGATTAATTAATTCAGTTATTAACAAGATTTTATTTTTCGGTGAACGCATTGCCCTAGTCCGTTTCCTCTCTGCTCCCATGAAATGCTCTACTAATTTAATTTCCTGGCCATAGTTGTCCCTCTTTGCAAGCTACCCAAGGATTTTATCTCTCTTCAGGGTGTGAGCTAATTGTAGACACTGCTTCTTTTATAAAATAAAGGGCAAAAACATGAAAAACAACCCAAATGAGAAAGATGTTAAAGGCAAAAACTAGCTGAGCACTTGTTTCAGTTAGCTACAGTAAGCTAAGTAACCAAGCACAATTAATTAGTAGCTATTTTTATACTCGCTCCCAGCTTATATTCAAATTCTAAACTTTTGAAAAAGCAGTCTACGCTTCGTTTCTTTTTTTTTTTTTACATTTAGGATGATGCTTTTTGATGTCCTATATCCACAAAAAATACATAAATAAAAAAATAAAAAAATCAGGCTTTAAATTCTTAAATTAAAAACTTCTACCACTGACTATTTGACATGAGTGCCATACTGTATACAGGCTGTTTGGAAATTAAAGGTTCTATTTTACGTCAAACTGACTCTTGTGATCTTTAAGCCATGTTAGAATGTTGTTACCTTCTTAAAAACATACCCAGAGCTGTGTTTTGTTTCATTCACACAAGTTTGAGTAACCCTTTATTATGAGTCTATAAGTTCAAAATGCTCTGGTCCACTTTGTGGACTCATGAAGTAGTTTTGTTATACTTTTGTTTAGAGATTGCCAATACCAAGACTGAAATCATCCAAATGATTCTTGTGAACATGTACGAAGTTGAAAAACACAGTGGAACACTTCCTGTATTACCATTTGACATCAAAAGGTGGTGAAAACCTAAATATACAGGATTTGCGTGTTAAATGCGTGTGAATGAAACAATGCAACTCTGGGCATGTTTTTGATGAGGAAACATTACAACATAGGTCAGAAAATGGTGTAATATGGGCCCTTCAAGTACAAATGAGGAAAAAATTTATAAAATATGTTAAAGATTGGGAAAACATCCTATATCTATCTTTCCTGAGGCTGCTCCCAACTGAGATGTTTGTAGGCTGCATCCAATTACCAAATGCGCATGTAATGAAGGAACGCTTAATCAGGATCAGTTTTATTAATAGATTTTCCTCTAGGGGTAATAGAGAAGGAGGCAAGGGGCAAAACACTTTCAAGTAGAATATGAATACCCCCTACTTGACTTTTCCAGTTAATTAAGACGTTGGTTCCCAAATTAACTAAGTCTGTGTCAGCTGATCTAGTCATTCATTTAGTAATAAAGGCGTTATTTTTATTGTACATTGCAGTTCCTGAAGACCTGTCCTTAGAAGAGAGGGATGAGCTATCAAGCATCCGACGGAGAAAAAGGGAACTACTGGACGATATTGAGGTATGCTTTTAGGATCGCATTTTCCTCATAAACTTTTTACTGCTGTAGCGATTTGCATTTGGAAGTTATGCAAACCATTCCTCCGTCCTGCTGTTCGGTTTAGAGTCACATTATGTTGTTTTTACTGTGTGCATGTTTGTAGCTTATATGAACATCTTCTGCAGTTAAAGTAAATTGAGAAAAGCTTTTGTGAACTTGCAGAGACTCAAGTTTGAAATTGCAGAAGTGATGACGGAGATCGAGCAGCTTACGTGTGTGGGAGAGAGGTAAGGCAATGAGAATTTGGGTTACTTAACACTTACTAGTCTAAATAAGATATAAAGAATGAATATGTAACTAGATAATACAGACAAACGTGGTTATTTTATGTGCAGTTTTCAGTACTCTACACTTTATCACCGACGTTTCCTGCTGAATTTAGAAGTGAACATTAGGGCTGATGATGCATGAGTGTGATAACAGCCTGACTGTCAGCATCTATTTTGTGGATGTTAGGGTTTTTCAAATAAAATAAACACTTGTCGTTTTATTTTACAAGTAGAAGAGACTTTATTCAAGTTTAGGAGTAGATCTAACTTGCATTTCAATTTTATTATCTGTCGTAATGACGATAGCAGCAGAAGATAGATATACATAGTTCACTATTTAACTATGAGCATTTGCATTGTATGTTATCTATTAAACTGCAAATTACAAACATGCCCGCTACCACAGAATTGCTTTTAGTTGTATCGTTTCCTTTCCTACCAATGTCACTAAATCCATATATTTGTCTGTTGGTCTATTTACACTCAATCAACAAAGTATGATTAGTGAATCTGCCAGCCAGGCTAGTACAATTGATAAATCAATGAGTTTACAGTTTGTCTCCAGGATTCACACATCAAAGCAATGATCCAATGTGTTACTGGAAATGACTATTTATATTTAGACCATTATGTGGTCCATAATACCATAATGAACATGTTTTTTATAGCTCTATTGTTTTGTCATTTGCTTATAACTATTTTGTATGTTCCAGCAAAACCTCACAAAGGAACAAACAAATCGCAATGGGCAGAAAGAAATTCAACATGGATCCCAAAAAGGTAGAAGCAATATAAAAGATACAGTACATCATTTTACATAAGCAGGATTAGCAATCTCACTATGTCCTTCTCATAACCATTTTCTTGATTGAGATGCGTGATTGACGGTCTCCTCCTCTGTCTTCTCCAGGGAATCCAGTTCTTATTGGAGAACGACCTACTTCAGCACACTCCTGAAGACATTGCCCAGTTCCTGTACAAAGGAGAGGGCCTCAACAAGACTGTCATAGGAGACTACTTAGGAGAGAGGTAAGGGAAGGAATAGAGGTGATTTAGTCATTAGCGAAGGACTTTATGGACTGGATTTATGGGATAAAAAGGGCGAGTGACCCTCTCTGAACATATATCTGTGAGGGCTTGGGTCAGAAGGCTGGGTAATGAAGAAGGAGGAGTCTATTTGAAAGCTTAGACTTATAATATACATGCTGTTATGTGGAGATGATATGTGGGAGTATAATGTATTTACAAGGTGAAGGTGAACCTGGGACAGATACAGAGGGTGAATCAAAAAGAAATAAATGGGAGCTCAAGGTAATTTGCATGAAAAGGTTTATTGTCCAACTGTCAGAATTGTCCAACTGTCAGAATTGGACAATGGGTAGGCATACTAACTAAGGTGTTTGCGTGGGCGACTGTCAACCTGGAATGTAGAGCTGAATGATGATGGAAAAATATCAAATTAAGATCAGTTCACAGTGCATATTTTAAATGAGCATTAAAATTTGAGGAAATATGAACTGCTAAGCTAATACAAAACGTACATGTGTCAGAAAATCATTGGTAGGTTTTGTACATTTTAAGATTATATAGAGACACAGACAGAACTTTATATTACCTAAGTAATTGCCGTCTTTGTGTTACTAATTGTTTATTATTTTGAATGTGAAGTGATTGCAACCCTGAATAACATGTGGGAAACAAAGGTTGAATTCTTGGAGGGTCAAATCCCAGCCAATTTAGTTCTGGTACTAAACCCACTTAATCCTGGAAAAATAAATGCGTTCCTGTTAACTCCTCTTAGTAGATTTTGCAGTTTTCAGGTGACAATATGGCCTTAGTCTACCAAAATCAAACGAATGAAAATGTTGATGCTAACCAGCCTATTTCCGACTAGAGTTGCCATAGTAAATATAACGCATAAGACAGAAGCTGAGAGCAGCAAAGTCTGTGAATGAATCCAACAGTTGGGGAGGAGCACCCTGGGGACCCATGCGCCGCAATAGGCTTTATTCACAGAGGATCATCAAAGGGGCCACCTACCCTGTGGAAATCACACTAAACACAGACTCGGGCTTCACTTCAAGTAATTACCACTAATTGAGCTTATGCAAGGAAGAGAGAACCCATCATTACACAGCCGATGAAGAGAGAGATGAAGAGGGAGAAAACAGGAGGCAGGCGCAAACAGAGGAGATAGTGAAGTAAAAAAAAAAGGAGGAAAGAGGAGGAGAGACGGTTGTGGCCCGAGTGGGCGCTTGACTCTTAAATTACCTCAGCAGACACAGACCACATGGGGAACATCTGTTTGTCACTTCCTGTTTAATACAAGCAGAGGAGCACCGCATCACCAAAGCCTGCAGAAGAATAACTAGCTCCCATGCATTTGTACTGTTTTTAAAAAGAAATAGTGCAATTATTAGGATGCCAGAAGTTTCCATGAATTGATGACACCAACATGTTAACTGTAGTTATCACCTTGAGAAGCACAGCACAAAATGTAAAAATAAACAACTTTTAAATAATGTGAAAGGTTTTAAAATTGGGAATAATTATATGTTTAAATTATTGTCAGTAATATCAACTGATTACACTGAGGTGATGGAAAGTGGAAAGTGTTACAAAACTAAAAAACTTGCTCATGGCTTGCTTCCATTGACCTAAAACATGCATGTAATTGGATTGGTCAGCCCTAAGTGTCCTATTGAATATTAGTGAATGGTTGACTGTTTACTCTGATCCCTGCAACAAACTGACCACTGTCTGTAGAATACCTATAGCCCCAGGACTATAGTTCACCTATAGTCAGCACAAGTTTTCAAATTCCAAACATTCACAATCTCATAACACAAAAAGTTGGCCTATAACGTCGTTCCCTCATAATGTATATTGCCTGGGTATGTATACAGTATACAGTCCACAATGGAGCGTCGCCCTTAAATTAACTTCATTCTGTGTAGATGAGAAAGAGCAAAGGAATATGAGGAAAATCCCCCAGTGTTGGGCCAAATAATCAAAAGAATGTTATTGCAACTTGAGTCTGCATTCTGTTTGTAGTTAAACAGCACACTTTGTACTTTTTCCTGCGACTCCTCCAAGTCTTTCCACAAAAAAACAAAGCTCTAGGATTGAAACGTTGTTGTTGACGTTTGTGCCATATAAGAGCTGAGTTTTTGCACACAACCTACAATAAATATGTGACAGTTCAAGCAAGCATGGGTCTGGTCAAGCTGGTTTCGATCAGTTGAAGCACCACTCACTCGGGCCTCTGGGTGGAGAAACACTGGCCAGCTGTTTAAATGTCTCTCAGGCAGCTCTCCTCTGTGTTCGTCCGGAATGAATAAGAGCGCAAACATGAGAGGAATGCTGGGAAGAGGAATTCAGGTTGAGAAATAGTTAAGATGAAAGGAAACGTGCTCTTTAACCTGCATTTTCCCTGAGTTCATGCTGAGTTTTGAGTCATATTTCATTGTATTTTCCCATTTTAGTGTCTCTTGAATACCCTAGCCTATAACATAACAACAATTACTTGAAATGAAGCTACATTAACATAAAATATATACCATGCATTGAGGTGAAGGTTGCATTTGCCCAAAGGCTTGCATAAATGATTTTGTTTTGTTTTTGTTTTGCTAACATGCAGAAAATAGTCACTTTAGCAAAACATGGGCTGATTGATTAGGCATAGGTTTTAGACTGCGTGGGTTCTGTAAAGTGGTAAACTTGGTGTAAACTTTAGCTGCCTTCTGAATCTCAAAGCCTGTTTGTCAGTGTGAATGACAAAAAAAATAAAACAAAGCTTTCATTGATAAAATGTAGTCAGTGAATTCAAAGAATTGTGCAAGAAAAGAGAGAAGTGATTCAAGACCACTTCCAGTTTTGGCTATTAAAACTATGTCCTGGAAACCTAATAAAATACTTTTACTGAACCAGCATTTTTGAAAGAACTGAAAATACTTGCAGTGAAGGCATATGGATAATGATGATTAACCATTTATTTGTACTCTCTCTTTCTTAATTATCAGGGATGACTTCAACATAAAGGTGCTTCAGGCTTTTGTGGAGCTTCACGAGTTTGCTGACCTCAACCTTGTCCAGGCGTTACGGTAAGAGGCCATAGACATTAGGGTGTGAAAAGTATCAAAAATCAGATACTAATCAATACTAAAACTAATATTGAAACTAGGTATTCATTTGAGCAAGTATGAATACTGCAAAAAGTCACATTAACAGGACAAAATTTAAGCTCTCCTGAACAGTTTTAGTATGAATTTGTGCTTTATCAGAACAAGTGTAAGACCTCATTTTAACGTAAAGAAAATACTATTGTTTTGCATTGAAAGTTACATTCTGTTACTAAAAAAGTAGCATTTTTTATCTTCATTGTGATATTGTAATCGGTATCGAGTACTGAGTCAATTCCTTGGTATTGAAATCAAGTTTGAAATTTTAGTATCATGAAAACACTAGCCATAACAATACAATTCTGTCGCATATAACTGCATTATATGTTAATAGGGAACAACAACCAAGCAACGCTATATATATAAAAAAGTAAAAACAGCTGCATCCTTTTCATCATTAATGAAAGTTTCACTTCTATTTCTTGCATCTAGACAGTTCCTGTGGAGCTTCCGTCTGCCTGGAGAAGCACAAAAAATCGACCGAATGATGGAGGCATTCGCTTCTCGCTACTGTCAGTGTAACCCCGGGGTCTTCCAGTCCACAGGTCAGACACGCCATAGTTAACTGTAATCGGTTATTCATATGAGCTGGCCCATTATGTGAGGCTAAGTCAATACGTTCACTGACTGGAAAACTGATGGCTTGTTTAAAATGCACCCCAATCATTAAACCATTAGTGTAGAGTTTAACTAAGGCTCAACCAGGATTAACCGCATTACAGTGCACTACAGTGGATCATATGAAACTAAGAACTGTCAACAAACAAGACAAATGTATTATTTAGAATAGGCTCAACAAGGGTGGGTGTAAACAAACTAGGAAGGAACAAGACAAACAATGACAATATAGCTCAATTATTCATATGGGCTGTGTAGGATTGTGTTATGGGCCAGTGGAGAAATGGGCTTTCAATTTGAAACATATAAAATGTATAAATTATGTAAGAAATTGCATTTTTCTGGGGTGAAATTTCTTGGCAATAGTCTGCATATTATACAGTGAAAGGCAACAATTGTAACCTAGTTGTACTTTTCAGCTTCTTGTTTTACAATAGACTGTGTATAAATAGACATAACTAACACTAGCCGCCACATTCTAAATAGGAAATATTCAAGGGGGCGCTCCCAGCTCCATCGACTCCATTGTTTCCAATTGACTTAACATTAAAAAAACTGTCACTCGTCTGTCTGTAACTGTTCCAGTGAGCCTCATTATTTTGATCTTAAAATATTTGTATTAACCCGCTTTACATCATCCTGGTGTTTCTTTTTCATTTCATATTTATATTTTGTTCACTATTTTATTCTTATTATTTAACTTGGCACCAAATTAGCTAGCATTTGAGCTTCATTTGACTGGAAACAGTATGGGGTGACGTCACTTTCCATCTTTATGTAGTCTATGTGTTATACGCAACATTTTGAGTACTTTTTTCAGTTCAAAAGATGCAATATTCCATTTTAATTTGTTATTCACTGTGCCATGCTGTTACATTTTTAGCAGTCTGAAGTGCACTGATACTGATATGAGATTTTTTGAGTTATAAGACCATTAAAATTACATATAAACAACAAAATTCAGCATGATTTACGTGTTATATTAATCGATCATATGAATTCAATAACAAAGTTTGATTTCTGTCATACTTCTTTGACAGACTGTGTTTCCAGGCAGTGATGTTGTGTACATTTAAGTGTGCTGAATTTAATTTTGGTTGTATTCCACAATCCAAGTGCCACTCCCTTATATAAACTTATAGACGAGTTTAATGCAGTCTTGCTTTTTTGTGGTCTTGCCAGGCGTGGTGTACAATAAGCCTTTTTGTCGTCTTGAGGGTTTGTGTGACAAGTGAGTGGAGGGTTTATGCTGTGCAGCAACTGTCACATAAAATAACGAAGGCGCTTTAATTGTGGCTGCATTTGTGTGGTCATTATTTTGCTCATCATTTCTTGACTGCTCTGACGTTCCTCCCACAACCCTACTGTTGCATAGTCTCTTTTTATAGTCCCGTGAGTTAGGTGCTAGACAATAGGCAGCGCAGAACGACCCGCGCTAAGTGTGTCAGTGAGACGAGGCAGACACAGCAGAATGAATGATTCATTTACAGGCAGCAGCCACTGGGCCCTGTGTGTGTGTTAGCATTAGCATTAGCACAGAGTCACACCCCACCCCCACCTGCCACGCTCCCCTGTCACATACAATCATGCACTTTTCAATTACAGTAACAGAGAGAAATATATAAGGTATTTAACAATGATTGTCCAAAGTAAACAAATGTGTATTATTCACAGTTCTGAAACACACAGTATGCAGAAATTAGATAAGAGAAACTTTTATTTGTCATAGAATATCTGTATTTATCATTTTACCATTTTTCTAATGCTTTTACTTTTTACTTTCTTCAAAAAAGTCTGATTATACTTCATTATGCAGTAAGCACAATTACATTCTTGTCTATGCAAAACAATAGAAACATGTAGGTTAAATATTCACATAAACATACTTGGACTGCACTAGAAATACCATATATACCATATCATAATTAATTTATTCACATGTTATGCTACAGTAAACTAAATACAACAGTTGTTGCCCAAGTGCTGAGCAGCAAAATTATATAATTGGTAGAGGCAATTAATACCAGAAATCCATTCAAATCTCAAATTAAGGTTTCTTAAAATATATGTTTATATTATAATTATGTTTATATGTTTATATTATAATTATGTTTTATAAAGAAAACTTTTTGAGAAACTAAACACAACAAATAACCTTGAATGGACCATTACTCTAGAATATGAAAAAAACATCTCTTTAAACCATATCTTAGGCTATCAAAGGGTCTGTGTTTTTCATGTTGAATTGGTCTGTTGTTGGTTGCCCAATAGCAGCTTAAAAATAACGATCAGAGACTGTCAATTTCATGAAATTATAGTGAAGTCTTGCTATTTTTTCTACTACTAGGAACAGTGGCACTGCCTGGATTGGTTGTTTTCAGATTGTAGAATGTCCCCAGTGACCCTTGATTATAATCATTATTATCGCAGCAATTTCTGTATTCTTAAATGATAACATATATATCTCTTTCTTTCTCAGATACATGCTACGTACTGTCATTTGCTGTCATCATGCTGAACACCAGCCTGCACAATCCAAACGTTCGGGACAAGCCCCCCGTGGAGCGCTTTATCTCCATGAACCGGGGCATTAATGAGGGGGGCGATCTGCCGGAGGAGCTGCTCAGGGTGAGGGCCCATTGGCTCAGTGTGTTTGTCTGCCCTGGCCCCTTTGTCACACCTATAGCATTACGAATGAGGTATTTGCCCCGCTGTCCTCCCTGGTGATTAATAGTGTCTCTGTCTCCTTGTGCGCAGAACCTTTACGACAGCATCAAAAATGAACCGTTCAAAATCCCAGAAGATGATGGGAATGATTTAACGCACACATTCTTCAACCCCGACAGAGAGGGCTGGCTTCTGAAGCTAGGTATGTTCACTGTCGCATAAGTAGCATTCATAATATTGTTTTATCATAAGCTCACGTCTCAAAAAGAGAATTTGTGCATTTTTAGTTAAGTGAGTTCTATTAGCTGAATACACAACCATTAGTGCAGGAGTTAAACATGACAAAACTTGCTCCTTGCTTGGCTTATATGATCAAAAGTAAAGATGTTAAAATTATGTATAACAAAAAAGGTGTAAAATTCAGTGTTTGGGTAGACTACACCAAAACTCCTTGTCCACATGTTTCAAATTGAAAGCAACTTTTGCACTCAGTCACACAGTCAGTTGAGATCATCTGGAAGGAAAAAAAAAAATCTTGGATCCCTATGATGTTCTAATAACAATAGAAACCATCTTTGATTCAGTCAAATGTAGGACATGATAAAATAATTACAACTAAATCCCCAACAGTGGAGAAACCCTATTGAACATAACTGCTGACTAGCCTTAAGAAAAGCTTGTTATACAGTCATTGGGAAAATGAGGGAAAATGAGGATCTAATTTGGTTTTCCTATTTCAAAACACTCCACATTCCCTTGATAGCTAATTAACGATCACCAAATGTTATCATAGACCTTCTAGATGTTCTTTCTCACCAGATGTGCGCTAGAGCAGTTGTAATCATCTATGGCATTAAATCAAATTATACATGTGTTGAATGGTGTCTATTTTTGACCCAGAAAATTGTCAGCTCTCTGAAATCTTGCCAAAATCAGTTGCTAAGAGACCTGTGACGCAATAACAGCCCCTTTCTTATCACTGTGCTTCATTTGTGTAACCTGGTTGATTTGGTGTATGTGATTTCTGTGCTTGTCTTTTGTGTATTTTTGTGTTCCCTGCACCTTGTCTAACTTTTCATACTGTCACTTTGTGTTCTATTTGTGATGGCTGTTCCTCCTTATATCTCGCTTTATTAGGAGGTAGGTAACGTTGCTTCCACCGCATCAGAATACCTTCAGTTCATATTGCATTGGCTGACATTCCTGTACTGAGCATATCATCGGCAGCCTACACATGCAGTTAGCCAGTTTTCCGTGAGTTCATTTCGAGGTGATGGGGATAACATCTGAAAATAAAGCTGCTTCTCTAAGCCATGCAAGGATATCACTGAGCATGAATGATAAATGTTATAGACTTCATCCAGAATAGAGCATAAACAACATTACGATTATTGATATTTACCTGCAAGTTTGTCTTTTTAAAGGGCCCCTTTTACGTTATTTTCTGATCTATTATATGTTCTATAACATAGATCTATGTTGTTTCCTCATAAAAAACATACTTGGAGTTGTGTTTTGTTTCACTTACATTTGTTGAACACACAAACCTTGCATATTTTAGAGTTAATCTCTCAAATGGAAAACACTGTTCCACCTTGTGATGTCATGTGGTAATATAGGAAGTGCTCCACTGTGTTTTTAAACTCGATATACCTTCACTAGAATCATTTAGATGATTTCAGCATTGAAATGGTCAGTCTGTACTAAACAAAAGATAAAATGTTGCTGTTAACTTGAAAACTACAACCACATGACACCACAAGAGCATTTTCAGCTTCAGAGATGTAGACAAATTCATAATAAAGGGTCAAACGTGTGAGAATGAAACAAAGCTCCAGGTATGTGTCTGAGGAGGTAACAGCATTTGAACATGACTAAAAAAGAGTAAATTTTGCATAATATAGGACCTTTAATGACCAAAGATTAAATAATGGCTTTGGATGAATGTGCCTTCTGCAATTTTGACACTTTTTTTTTTTTATTAAGGGGATCTTGCTACACAAGGCAATTATGTGCTGTCTTGACAAATTTTTAGACCGGATGTCCTGTGACTGGACTTGAGGTTTATTGTCTTGCCCAAGGACACAATGGCAGCATGTGCTTGTGGAAGATTTACCACCAGTCCATTATGAATACTTAACCACTGCTCCACAGTTTCCCATTTAAGATCATATAAACTCAAAAATATATTGTCAAAAATGCATTTATTTTACCAGATAAAACATTAAGAACATTACTATTATGTCATGTCAGGGTGTGTTCCAGAGGCTGTTGTTTATGTTGTATTCTCTCAACTTTTTTCTGGTCTTACTTGAAGTATTTTGAAGTTGCTCTGTGGATGTGTAGTGGTCACCTTGCTTCATGCTGGGTCCAATCAAAAGACCCCTTCTCTGGACCATAGCTACTGCCCAGACACTCTGTCACACCCCAGCTCCCCCCAATGCCCGGCTTTACTCTGTTTTGTGCCAGTGTCAGTGGGCTGTACTTATACTTGCTTACGGCTGGGGCCCATGGCTTTCTTTCATTTGACCACCTCCTGATGCTTTTCACTCACCTCCCTGCGTCCTTCTTGCCAGATCAAGCGAGACCCTAAATCTTTTCCGATGACCAAACTGTAACTCCTGCTCGATCACAGGGCCATTGACTTAACAAGGGGAAGATTTTTATATTCATTAGTAGGGAGCACTCCGCTGGCTGGTCAGGTAATCAATAAGGTGATGGAAAGATCATTACGCAGCACAGCTAACAGGAGCTGGGGCTTCTGCTAAGACTGCAGTATTAACAATGACCAAGCATGCCTGTATTAAAACATTACAGTTGAGTTAAAGTTTTCTGCATATAGTTTAAAATTGCTCCATAGAGATCTTATTGTGTTGCCTAGAATTTTCTACATTATTTCTACATATTAGTGGACATGACATGCTTGTCTCCATGAAGATACATTTAATGCCATGGTTTGAAACATTCCAAGCAAAGCAATAACATCTCCATGAGACAGGTGGCGGACCCTCCATCGCTGACATAATGTTTCTTAAAACTTTGTAATATAATGTAATTTTTGATTATTGTGAGATAGAGCCAGCATCTTTATGGAGAGGTTATTTTCCCAAGTGGTTTCCATTGTGCTTTAAAAGGACAACATTAGTTTACATAACAAAATTGTGTCTGGTATCCATATAAATAATGAATATGCCAGACTTTTAGTGCATGGTATAGCACAAAAATATGGGTCAAGTAAACATTACATATTGATTACATCAGTAACGGCCTCTGCTCGGTGCTCTGTCAGCAGCACGCTCTCATCCAGAACATATTGTGCACTTGGGCTGATTTGATTACACTTAGCTGGATGCTCATTTAAGCACGAACATTTGAATTAACTCATCCCACTAATCCAAATAATCTACTTTTATCAGTTGATGAAGTCAGAGGCAGATATTATTTAAGAAGATTTCCGGAGACAATTCTAAATGTGGCTTTAGAGATGCAGTTTGTTTATTTGTGCAAGATTATAATAACTGTAATGGCACTCATAGTAAATAGATGTGTTCAATGAAAGTTTTACTAGCATTTTTGGTGGTTTTGTTGAGAGCCAGAACTGGCTGATATGTCTCTAAAATTAAAACTTTGCTAGTGGAGGGTCTGTCACCTTGGAGATGTTATTCCTTTGCCTGAAATGTTCCACAGTGTGCTATCAAATGGATCTAATTTACGTGTATTTAATTGCAGTTTTTTTTTATTGCTACCTTGATAAACATGTGTTCTTGCTGTGAGCATGCTGATATAACTTTATATAAGTTTAATGCCACACTGAGGAACATTCTAGGCAAAGCAATAATATGCATGATAACACCCATTTGGCAGACCCTCCACCAGAAAGGTTGCACATTGTACTTTATTATTTTATATGACTTATTATTATGTCTTCTGCATTCATAAAAATATAGAAATTATTTGAAGCCAGTATTTTAGTGAAATACTTGATAACACGAGATGACAGGCGCCCCTCCCCCATTGGACAGTCCAGCGGAGTGTGTCTTGCTTCACTGAACCATGATACCATACCACTACGTGTGCTGGAATTATAAACCCAATTCCTCTGTTTTTCTAAACCACCCTCCCCTCATCGCAGTCCCCTCTACCCAGAAGGGGCCAGGCTCCCAGGGGACAGCCGGAGCGGGAGGCTGTGATTGAGGTCTAATAGCACACAGGGCTGATGATCAGGTCCAGATGTGGCACGTGGGACGGGGGAACTGGGGTCTCCTACAGGTCCAAAGTACTTGAAATATGCAGTACCAGTAATGTGTTTAAGTCTATGTACTGTTTATGTGTGTGCAGGGGGCCGGGTCAAGACGTGGAAGAGGAGGTGGTTCATTCTCACAGACAACTGCCTCTACTACTTTGAATACACCACAGTAAGTGCAGACCTATTTGAGTTGTAATACATACTATAAGCACTCTATTTTATTTTAATGTTTTTAAATTTAGAGTTAAGATTTCTGAAAAGTCTTACTACAACCATAATAAAAGGTTTATGGTTCAGTGGAATGAGCTTTAACTAAAATTGTATGTGGCACTTAGTATTCTAACATTGCTACTGAAGGGCAATTCTTAAAGGTGAACCATGTATTTTTATCTTGCGGAGTACCTTTTGCTTTCCATTTGAGGATATGCTTATACTTTGCCGTGAATGTTTCACAGTATGGTATTAGGCTTATCTATCTTCACAGAGACAAGCAAAGAATGCCAACAGTCATGTTACAAGTCAGATCTAGGGAGAGTTTAACCTGCTCACAGTAAGCATGTTTTGGTATTTTAGGTTTGTAAGATTCCAGACAAAGCAATAACATCTCCATGGAGACAGACAGGTGGCAAACCCTTTTATCAGAAATTATATAGTGTACTTTTAAGCACTTTTTCATCTATAGCTAAAAATCCTTTTGTAGTTACATCAAGTATTCATGTTCTATTTTATATTACTTCCAGGCCAACAGTCAATAGTTGTTCCTCTTTTGGTGTAAATGGGTACCAGAGATGTAGCCTGCAGCAGCCCTCCTCACCAGACACAGCCCCTTTGACCCAAATGAACCTCACTCCGCTCGAGCAATTAACATGCGGCATCATGGGAAACATCTGTAAAGTCCGCAGCTCACATCTGGCGGCACTAAGCCATAAGCCAAGTGCCCCCCTCTCTGAACAGACACGAGGCATCCCAATTCAACAAGACCCCTGCCTGCCCCCTCCCCCCATGCAAGCAGACAGGCAGCTATCCCGGGGCACTTCCTCCCCCCGTCGTGCCCCCTCATTAGGGTGAAGATGACAGGCAGGACAGGGCCCAAACACCTCTGGAAGGGCCCGTCAGCAGAGTGCACACTGCAGGGTGGGGAGGCTAGAGTTACACTTCCCTCCAGGTGCAGCTCTGATGTGACTACCACTGGAACACGGGCACAAGGGGCTATTATGAGGGCAAATCATTCTGTTTGCAACACATAAATATAGAATTTACAATAGTTTCTGGATTTGATAATGCTTTTGATTGATTAATTTCGATTTTTTTTTTCTTCCATCCATCTCTCAAAGTGACATACAATTTTTGGTGGAAAAGTCTAAGCTGGAAAAGTCTCAGAACCCCATTTGTTTGGAATGGGATCCACAAACTTTCTCTATATTTAAATTCTGTCTTTTGTCCAATTTAATTCAATGTTTTGAGGCTATAGTGAATAAAAAGTTTCACCTCTTGTGTTATATATTCATTTACATTCAATCAATTCTTTGCCCAATTTTTTCTTCATGGATGCTGTATTTATTGAAACTCTAATATTCTGTAACTATTTTAAACAGCTACTATGAGGTTGTGTCTTAATATGGTATGTTTAATAATGCAATTGTTTCAAACTGTTTAACAGTGTTATAAAAATGAAGAAGAAATACTTATAGATGGATGCTAAGTTAGAAATATCTTTTCAGGACAAGGAACCTCGAGGAATCATCCCTCTGGAAAACCTCAGCATCCGAGAGGTTGACGAGCCCCGAAAACCCGTAAGAGCAATCATTCAGATTTAAGTATTATATTTGTAATGCTCTATTTATCAACCTTGCAAATATTGGCTTCCAGAACTGTTTTGAGTTGTACAACCCTAACCACAAAGGCCAAGTGATCAAAGCCTGCAAAACCGAAGCGGATGGACGGGTCGTTGAGGGCAACCACGTGGTGTACAGGATATCAGCGCCCACGCCGGAGGAGAAAGAGGAGTGGATCAAATCTATCAAGTGAGTCTCAGCCGTGTTAGCGCGTCTCCATTTACACTGAGAGGGCACTTAGGCCAACAGCGCTCTGCTCCCCTGTGCCACTCTCTCATGTCTGACCTTGACTTCCAGAATGTGGCACGTACACGTGACATTGACTGTTTCTCACACTCTGGCGCTGATAACACACAGTGGTGAGCAAAAGGTGACTTCTGCTCTGTTTGATCATCTCACTTCCTTTGGTTAGGGCTTACTTAGATGTGCTAGTTATTTCTCTTTGCACTTTTAGAAGTGTGGGGTAGGGGTGGGCAATATTGATAAAAATGTATATTTCAATATTTTTTTGTGACCTTGATAAATCAATACAATTTGTTTAGAATATAGAGAAAATGATGGCTAATAAACTTTGCTTGTTTGGTATTGTATGTAGGGCCAGTTTTTATTATTTTACCCAAATGATATAATTTGAATTTACTACAAACTTATCCATGACCCTGTTTTTTAAGATAAGAGAGCTGTGTATTCACATTTTTTCAGTAGCTTCTTTGGGCTTAAATGTTTAAATAAAGGTTTACGCAGCTGGTTGGCTCTTAAAAATATTAGCCTCTCTTGGAGATTGAAGGTATTCAGTATTCCGACAATATTTTGACAATGCATCATGAATGTGTTATAGGCTAAAATGAGCCTTTAAATGTCTTGGTTAAAATTCAAGTCAACCAAGATGTGAATGGACCATAAAATAAAAAATACTGCACAATACTGCAGAAGTGCAAAAGATACTCTTGTTTTGGAAATCCCATTTTAATTAGAAATGATATACTCAACATTCTAATCTCCAAAACATCAACTGCGTTATCTCCCTCCTATAATGTGGGGTAGCTTTTTAGATGCTCTCAGTTACATCCCAATGTACAAACAGAGTGCTCCTGTGAATTGGACCCAGTGTGTAATAGATCAGCCTGTCTCACAGTGAGTGGTAAATAAGACCAATATCTAACACAAAATGTATTACAAAATCCTTCTATGTTCTAATGATGGGCCAAAACTTACTTAGTATTGACAAAGTGAATGCAATTAGTTGTCGCTATTGGAAAACTATTCAGGTGAAGCTCGCCGGTTTTGAAAGAGGGGCAGTGTTCATTCTCTCACTTGGGAAGGCAGTTGACCTCGATATGAAACCCATCCCGTTTGAGAGTCTGGTGTGAAACAGAGGAGAGGGTCCTGAGTGCAGTGTGCCGTTGTGTGCGTAAAGCCTTTTCCTGTAAATGTGTTAATGGTACAGGCAAATCACACAGTGAAAAGCCTTGAGTCAAATGCTGACAATGCTGACTGCCCAACAATGCTAAATTGAATGCAAAGTCAATGTGATCCAATAATAGCAACACTAACATACAAGTGATATAGATAGAGACAATTCCAAAACTATTCAGAATATTTTCAAGTCTGTCATTTTGATAATAGTTTTAGTACTCATAACTATCTGGTTATTGTTTGACAACCTTAGGTAGAAAGAAGTAAAAAATAAAATAAAATCTGAAATTTTGCTCACTTTTCTCAACATAATTAAGTATAATGTCACTAAATATATACATCTAGTTCTACTCTTAAATACTAAAATCTAAAACATTTAAGGTTAGAGGTCTCTGATTTTAGTTTTAGTCACTGAATCGCCACATTCTGTACAAGATTTAGACTATAAATAAATAAATTTTAAAAAAACTGTCAGTTTGTTGCTAGGCTGTTCTGCCTCCACTCAGTTTCCATGTGATAGTCGTCCACACTCTGCTGCTCTCAATCTCAAACTCACAGCCGTGTGATTTGGCAAGCTTTGACTCTGTAACTCAAAAAAAAAAAAAAAGAAAACATTTTCACTTTCCACTTTTTTTTCTATGGAGACAGACTGGAAGACAGGTGATAATAACATTCCAGATCAAGCTGGATTGAAGCAGAATCAATTGAGTCAATAAATATTAGATTTTTGCATTTAGTAAAGAATACAAAAGGGATGGTAATGGATTAAATTAGTAATAGGCAAAGTGCATAAAGAATTAAACTTAAACTTATAATTATACTTAAACTAACTGGACAGAAAGAATAGACATGTGACTAATTCAGCATTACATTTTCAGTATAAAACTTTAACTTATCTTTCAGTTATTCAATTACAGGGGATTTGTTTATTTTTTTTTTATACAAAATAAGTAATTTGCTTTGTATCCTCTCCCCACAGAGCCAGCATCAGCAGAGACCCATTCTATGATATGCTCGCCACCAGGAAAAGGAGGATAGCCAACAAAAAATGATGACCCTTTAACATGATCCATGAAACATGTCTGCAACCAGCAAAATCCCTCCCTGTGTGTCTTGTTCTGGGGAGTAATGATGGAGCTATATTTTCTCAAGAGTGAAGCTGTTTGGACTTCAGTTTTTGAAGGAGCTCTAAAGAAAGAATGGACAGGAAACAGACTGTAAATTGAAGCTGTGACCATTCTGCCCCCTGCTGGACACAGGCGTATCTGCTTCATTGGAAGAAAGGAGATTTGAATCCAGTTATCTTCCAAATAGATTAATGATGCCAAACCTTTTTGACTTTTGCCCTTATTGATTGATTAGAACTACAAAAGCCTCAAGTTTGAATCAGCTGGTCTGATTTAACCATTCAGTAATGTATATGATTTTAAAATCTATTTCTAGGTTTTGAGCTATTGTTTTAGTATCAAACTGGAAATGTTAAGGAGACTCTCCAACCATAGAATTTGTCATACCTAGTCCAACCCAACTTTGAAGTAATTTATATTGACCATTCTCCTTGGTGTTCATTTATTTTTGTATTTATTTTTACCAATTTAACAAA